TTTTAACCCCTACAAAATTTTGTTTGAAAATGAATGAAGGTTTGAGCGATTTCACTTTTTTTCGTTTTTTGTCCCACAGCACCACCGCCACTCGACTGATTTTGAAAAAGTACAAAGCGTTTTCGTCCTTGTGTGAAATTTTCATCTAAATCCTAGCTGCACTTTCCCCGTTACAGGTGGTTAATGGTCATATAACATACAAAAAACAATCTCATTTTTGAAATTGTTCGCGATAACAATACTTCCTCGGTAGTAGGCGTGGGAAGTAAAAGCGATGATGAAAAGCATTGTCATTGAAAATTGAATATACCATAATCGATTTGTGTCAGCTATTAAAAATGCAATTTTGTAAAAAATACGCCATTGCTTAAGTTGCTTTTGAAATATACTAAGTGACATATAAATCCAAACACCCAGTTTAAATGGTTTTATTTTAATAAAATTTTGTATAAGTACTTAATGAAGCATAATAAGTAAATGATAAAAATTTCAAAATGATTGTACTGCTTTAAAGCCCTTTGACCTTTAATAATGTGTGGATGCATCCTGATGTGCTACGCATTCTCCAACGCGCCTAGGCATGCTTCTGATCAGGTGGTCAATGTCCTCCTGTGGTATCTCATTCCAGGCAACCACCAACTCCTCTCGAAGTGCTTCTAGAGTCTGAGGAGGACGTTGCAAATTGAGCAATCTCCTACCCATCATATCGCACACGTGCTCAATTGGGGATAAGTCGGGAGATCTTGGTGGCCATGGTAACAATGTGACATCATTATGTTGAAAGAAGTCTATTGTGACTCTTGCAACATGTGGCCGGGCATTATCTTGTTGGAAAGTTGGATCTGCCAGGGTGTCAAGATAGGGTAAAAGATGGGGTTCTAGAACTTCGTGGATATAACGCTGCGCGTTCATGTTACCTCTGATGAAGATTAAAGGTGACCTGGAACCATAAGCTATAACACCCCAAACCATAACTCCAACAGTGTGATGAACATGTCTTTCAAGAAAAAACTGTGGATTCCTCCTTTCACCACGTCGCCTTCTAACCCTGGCACGACCATCGTGCATGCCTAAACAAAATCGAGACTCGTCACTAAAGACAATACTGTTCCATTCCTGATCCCAGAGTGACCGTTGTCTGCACCACTCAAGGCGATTACGTCGGTGTTCTCGAGTTAAAGGGAGGACCCAGTGTGGCCGGTATGAAAACAAGCCAAAACTTTTAATAATCTTAGGCGGCGATCTTCACGGTCTGTTGTTCTACGGCGGCGTCCAGTGCCCCTTGCTCTTTGCGTACGGCCTTCTCGAAGCCATGCCTGACAACACCTAACCACAGTGTCTACACTTCTTTGCACTCTAACTGCAATTGCCCGAAAAGAAAGTCCAGCTTCCCGAAGTCCCACTATACGGCCCCTATCAAACTCACTAAGTGGACGAAATCGTACAGGTCTCCGTACTCTAGGCATCGTAACCGATCGTAAAGGATGTCAAGAACCAAAATCCGCCAACGTTGATTCTTTACTGCGGCTGAAATATTCATTTTTAGAGCGTTAGTGAATTTAAAAAAAGCAGTACAAAAACCGGAATGTCCAACTGATAAGGCTGAAAATTTTTTCACTTGTTATTTACAGTAAGATAAATACATTCACGAACTTTTATTAAAATAAAACCATTTAAACTGGGTGTTCGGATTTATATGTCACTTAGTGTATTTTAACTGTTCATCATCTGTTCATCTTTAACTGTTCATCAAATTTTGCATCAAACTGCGTGAATACGATGACAAGCGAGAATTATAACGCCTAGACGCAGGTTGACCAATACCTGTTTAACCAATACGAGCTGAACGGAGTACTTTGCTAAAACAAACAACAAAAAACACAACGGAAAGATAAGAAATTCTCACTGGTAAGGAAAATGTTTTATTTTTATTGGTCGATCGTTGACCAATACGATTATCGTTTGCAAAAAGTATGTGCCTCGCTTGTTTGTGTCTAACACGGATGGGAGTGTCTTTGTTTTTTGTAGCTCACTGGATTTGTATTGGCTGGTTAGGATGATGAATCAGTAGTTGAGCGTTTTAAGAGAAAGATGAATCGTTGGAACATAAAAATGGGATTTTTAAAATAAATTGTTCGTTAATTTCTCGATTACAACAGATCCGATAAATCTATAACTTAACTCTCACCTCTAATAACACATACTAAGTAAACTTGTTCCTTATGGATACCATTACTGCTACGATATTTCATTTCCGGAAAGTATGACAGATGTTTATATCTTTTGAAGACGCCATGCACTGTCAAGTTGTCGTGGAAACTTCTTGACTTCCCACAATAATATTGTAGGACACCTTCATGGCCTCCTTGATTTTCATAGCATTGGGCTAGGGTATTTCTAGATTTTATTTAGATGTTTTGTGCGTTTACTTCCCACGCCTTCTGGCGAGAAACTATTCTAATCGCGAAACTGAGATATTAAATCTGAACTTAAAGCACCAAGCACCAATTTGCCGACACATTTTTTACATACGGAATTTTCAAGTATAGTTTTCTGGCTTGAGCAGTACTATTATTTTGCTTATTGCTCTGTAATGATGTAGCGGCTGTTCGGTGTAAAATTAAAAAATTGTGAAGTGTAAAATTCCAAAGATAATCAAAATGTAAGAATCTGAGGTGTGACAGTAGAAAGCATCTCTCGAACTGGAAGCTGGCAATTATACCCTAATCGAGAACGCGGCAGGTAGAGGCACAAGCACAAGGGTAATTGTGATCCTGAATCAGACGAGAAAGTATCACTATGGAGACCCACCATGGCAACTAGACTGGGGAGTGATATGCTTTCTCCTCTTGGAGCACAACATCGATCGCATTACAAAATGCTCTGCTGGTACTTGGGACAAAAGAGGTGGGGTATTACAGATCACTCTCAACACAGGCCTTTTTGCCTCTAAGAAATTGTATTTTATTAGAAAAATACTTAGGTGTCGATACATGCAATGGAAAAGACAGCTAAAGGCCTTTCTACACTGAGTTTTTCAGTTGACAGAATTACCATTCAACAATAGATTTCCTCCTAGTAATTCAATATAATTAAAATTATAAAAACATTTTTATGGCTTGTAAAAAATTTAACTTGATAACACGTACTTTTCAGAAAAAATGCCAACATTTTGGAAGTAATTTGCAATATGATTTGAAAAACTCTCTAATTCACAAACTTATGATAGCATATTATACTGAAGACTAAATGTATTTCCAACAAAAATTTGCTGTTCAAGATGATTATGAGCTTCCATAGAGAAAAATATTTAGGGTGCATTACACTCTATCAGAACTTTATCTAAATATAGTCAAAATCCAGCATAAACAATGGGATTAACAAGATTCTTATGAAGGCAAAATTGATGGTTGCAGAAAAATTGGAAGGCAAATGTTATGGCCGAGGAACATTCAAGACTGGACAGTAATTTCAAGTGCCGAACAACTAGCTGAAAATTTTCAACATCTTGCTACAAAACTGTGTTTAGATGAAATTTTTATCTGAACATCTTTACAATGCAAACCTCTCTCAATATTTGCAACAATCAAAGGTTGCTATGGAAAACAATTGATAGTTAGCTGTCAAACAGTTTATGAAGATTATTAGAAGCCAAGCCATTTTTTGTCAAATGTTCATTGTGTAAAAAAGATTTTAAGCCTTAAGCAACACGTAATGTAAAAACATAAATGATGATGTAGCAGGTTCTACAATGTAAAATGTAAAAGTGGAAAATGTAATCTCCATCCTTTCGTTATTTCTCATTTGATACAAATTTAATTTAGTAAATTACAAAATTATATAAGTGGGCAATCACCCATTGATAATGAAACCTCAATTACTAATTTGGGATGCCTTTGAAAACTTGTAAAGTGATTTATGCTTGAATGTTTGTGTAAAAGAAGGAAAATATGAGATAGACTGAAAAATTACTCAGCTAAAAAGTGTTTTGCAGAGGCCATTAACATTCACAAAAAAGTGAAACAGGCAAAAATTCCGGGGTGTTTCTTATGGTATATGGTTGAAGCTATGAGTATGGTGCCTAGAAGCCATGTCCATTGTTGCTATGGTGCGAAAAACAGTGCAAAATAATGAAAACTCTGTTAATTTGCATTTACCTAATGTTGCTATGTTGAGGCATCGGTTGCTAGGGCAGTCTCCAAGGATACCGAAGTAGTCTTGTCGATTTGACAGGTACCAGAACCTAACTTTTTTCGCTAGAACTTCGTTTCTGCCCCCACTGTTAGTTTTTTCAGATTACGGCTGTCCGCAAGGTGGGTTTCTCCATTTTTTTGTGGTTAATAAATTAATAAAGCTCTGGAACTGTTTTATTGATTATTATTTCCGAGGAATGAATACAATCAGCGCACTACCAGACTACCGTTGCCGATAAAGTAGCGATCTACACTTGATCCGCGAATAATTGATTTTGAATCGCCCCTTTTTCAGATATATTTGTCACACTTTTTTCCAAACGGACTTAACCGATAAATGTTAAATGTCAATGAATACATAACAAAATACCAATTGCATATTTATATTTCGTAAAATTCTGGCACTCCGACGCAGTTTCATAAGTTGAGACATCTCACCTTCATTGAATAGTGAATATTTCAAGAAATCATTTGTTAACAAAAAGCATGTGGGAAAAAACTTAAAATTTATAATCAAATCTAAATAACATAGGATTCAACAATAAATTTAAGTTTTCAGGCAGTGAAGTTTAAATTTTTTTCCATTTTTCAGTGATTATAATATTGGTGGCGCCATCTTCTGCGTTTACATTCAACTGAATGAAAATGGCTGAAGCTGCCCTTATCACTATTATTTTTTCATAGCTTAATATTTTCACAATTTAAATTATTTCATTGTCGTATGGTGATCTTTATTACGCGAAATTGAGAAATATGTTATAAAAATGTAGACAGTAGATTGAACGCGTATTCCAACTATGATTTAACATGCCTGCCATCTATCGGCCTAAAGCGAAGTAAGTTTTTCAAGTACATCATCTACAATCTAAAATAATCTAAAAATTGACCTTGAGGATCAAAAATCAAAAACCATATATTATAAAACTCTTTACGGATTTATTACTTGAGCCACATTTTACTTCGTATTCTAGTTACTAACAAAAAAATTTGATAATTTGCAAACTTCTCATTTTCGTCAATTTCAGGAATTTGAAAATTTTATGAAACCCTTTGATGTGTCTACATTATCTCCACATCTTGAATGGAAACGTCAGCACCATATGAAAGTGAAGAAAAAAGGTTTTTTCAAATTTTAATGTTGTTGGGTCATTTAACAAAATCCATCTGTCAGCTCAAAAAGATAGATGTTCCACTCATTTTTGAGTATTTTAAATGATTAGATAATAAAATTGCTATGTTACAGTCAAAACAGTAAAGTATAGGTTTGATTTTTGTCAGAAAATTCTGTCAAAATAGAAATTATTTATAATCCAGATCCACTTAAAAAACAATTATTATCCTATCTCAACAAAAACCATGGATCAAAAGCGCTACCTCTGGAGGTCATTGCATTTTTTCTATTCGGCGTAAATAGAGGGCGTTATCGTACATAGGTCGGTATAATAGTTTGTTTGTTTTCCCACTGAATCGCACCGGCACCACGGTGTGCTAGCTGTCACCTAATCCATCTGTGTATGTTCTTCTATGCAAAACATTTACGAACTAGATCAATTTGCGATTGTGGAAACGCATGTCGACTTTTTCGGGTAATTTTCGGTTGTTTCACGGCGTCCTACTGCCATTTTTTCCACGCAGGGTGACAAACGAACAAATTCCGCTCGAAATCGGGATGTTCTTACGGCGATTTGTTGATCAACATTCTTGAAAAATGACCGTGGAAGAGTATTATTTATCGGATAGCGCAGCGCGGTCGCCATCTTTTAAGTGAGGTTTTTCTCGCGATCTCCGTCAAGAATTTCGGCGATTTTGTCGGATTGACTATGGCGAGTCGTTGTTAGATTTTCCCGTGAATCGTGCCCGTGTATCTTCCAAGACGGCCAGGAAAAGCTCGAAAACGTTGGAAAACCAGAGGTAAGTCGAAGATGGAATCATCTCTTGGGCTCTTGCCTTTCCGTTTTAAGCTCTTATTAGCGATTTCCGCGGATTTGCTGCCATTGTGATTGCATATTGCACTTTCGTAGCCTGCTCAGTGAAATTATACCCTGACTTCTCTGACATTTTGTAGTGGAAACCGAAGAGGTAGCTGCTACCTTAAGTTTTAAAAATAAATGTCTTTAACTGTAATTTATGCCTACGTAATACGTCTGGTATTGTCATTTACGATATGGATAACAAGCATAAATGTCGTTTGGCATAAATAATGTAACGTTCCAACCCAGAAAATGTAGCATAAACCGAAGTATCTGGGTGTAGGTATTCATTTGTTACGCGAAATCGGATTTCGTCATTAGCCGATTCGTAGGAACCTGATAATTGTTTCATGTTGATACCCTTCTAAAAATAATCGTAATCCTTGTCACGTGACTTATCTTAGTTAAAAAAATAATCGAGGTATTGTAAAAATGAAAGTTAAAGTCTCGATGTAATCAATAAATTGCAGTAATATTGATTTATTGAAAAAGAAAACCGAAAAGCTCGAAGTTGATGTAGACGTCTTTGTTGTTTTCTGCATAAGATATCAAGGTGTTTCTAAGTAGGCCATATTTAATTTTTGGCCAGGTGTCTTCATATGCGCATTTTTCCCACTTGACCCTCCCGTTTTTCTCTATAGATTGCGCCCTATATGGAGATCCTATTGCCGTATAGTGCATAGTCATCTCTAAGTCAATGTTTATACATCAGTATGACTAAAAATAAATGCGAAATCACTCATACTAATTCACTCTGAACTTTGATAAATGTTTTGGAATCAGTTGTCAGAAGTTAAGCTAAACGATCGTGTCTCTAATTTAAGGTTAGGAAATCTTGCTGGTTGGAGGTACCTAGCTTAAAGTCAATCTGGTCTTTATTATTTGGTTTTATACTTACATAGGTAAAAGATAGTAATGTGTAAACATTGAAAATGAATAATACAAAGTCACACGATTTTATAGAGAGTTATGTGAATGTTATTTTGGATTATAATTGTTGTTGAGGCCTAAAATAAATGACATTCGTTCTTTAATTGTGAATTGAATTGTTTATACTCTGCAAAGCAAATTTACTGCTTTGTTTTCATAATCTCTTTATATTATTTTTTCAAAGGAGAACTGCAATAACCAGAATTTTATTTTATTTTCATATAATTTATTCATATGGCCGAAGACCAGAAAGTTTTGCACATAAATAGTAAACCTGTTCAACATTTAATACTTACATTCAACAATAATAATTATATAAATAAACTAAAAACATCATGTTTTCTAATATGTCAAGTTAAATGAACAATGGTTTTCAAAATTATTTATTTGGAGCTAAAGTAATTATAACAATAAATACATATTCACAAATAATAAATTACATAAAAAAACTAAATTGGTATCATCACATCATAATTAGCTGCATTTTTTCTTGCTTCCCCATAAATCATGTCAATTTTATTGTTTCTAGTATAGTCTTCCATTGTAAATTATCTAAGAAACAAATCAATTTTTAAAACTGACAGTATTTTTAATAACCTAGATTAGTTATTTGTTGAAATAACCCTAGCTACACCTTCAATCATTTGTCATGGATAACTAGAATAGTAGGACTTGGTGCAAAGGTACACCAAATTTTTCGAATTTTCTCGCTAATAACCTTTCCTCTACCCATTTTGAAAATCTTAACTACCCAAAACTATTTTAAACGTATTTTGACAGCTGTGATTAATAAAAACAATTGTCATGGTTTTTATTTTTCACAGCCACCTATGCGTTATGGACTTATTTTGCATTGAAATGAAAATAGGTTGATATGCTGTAATTGCAACATGTTATTTTTATGCTGCAAATTTGATTAGGGAGTGATAAAGTTTGTGTTTTCTACTATTTTTTTATCAAAATATTCATTGTTAATATTTTAAACCTATAACTCCCTGCTACTTTTTTATTATTTGTGTTTGATAAGAAAAAAACTAAGATTTCAATAGTTGGGCCAACTGAAGTGGGAAGGGGTCATAGTATCTCTGTTTCGAAATGTTTCGCGATTACAATATTTCATCGCCAGTGGCGTGGGAAGTAAAAGCTTTGCTCGGCACAAAGAAAGCAGTTTTCGTAATGTGTTCAAAGAAAATTACAAATTTCCGCTCGGCAATCTCAACTTGTTGATTCATGCTAAGGGGCATTCAGCAAATGTGATTATGAAATAGAAATGAGTTCTAAAATTTCTCCCAGGAATGCGAGGATTTCTGTTGATGAAAAGTCACTGCCCTAATTATTCTCTCGGTACTGCAGATAGATAGCAGCTTCCTCTATTATGTCATTGTCTCAAATCCAGCAAATCTTTATTCAATCAAGCTCCTGACACACTTGCATATTTTTGTAGATGGAATGCGTTCACGTGGGTGTTGAATTGATACGTTTAAAACAAAACATTTCATTTCTATGTACATAACCCCACATTTTAATCAGATTTAAAATTTACCCAGAACTTTTATATGATGGACTGTAGATTTTATTTGTTGAAAAGAATTATGGAAAGCAACATTTTGGTGAATTGTACAGTGTCGATGAAAGATTATCCCTTCCCTGTAGTTACTATCAAATATCAAATTTTCAGTCGTGTCATTGTAAACTAATGTGCATCTGTTTATTATATTAACATATGGTTCCTAGACCATTAAGGCTAAAGCTAATATCCTCATTAACAGCGTTTGGAACAGATGGCGTAGTAGATTCTTTTTGTTCCTGTTTTGATTGGATAGTCTACAAACTAATGTGCAACATTGCATTATTGTTTATTGAAAAAATACAATAAATATTAGAAATAATATGGTTACTTAGTTGCCCGATTTTGTATTAAATTTTGTTGATAACAAACACGTTTTTAAAGAATACGAACAACCCGACTGCATAGGTCAAAATCCTTCAAGTCGTTTGACCGCGCGAAAAAATATCCGTCCTTCTGAGTCAGTCGGGTTAGAAACAACTTATTCTTGCTACAAATATAAACGTTTACTCAAATTTTGGACATCCTAAAACTAACAGATTATGTATCCCGATATATGGCGCCTCAAGTTTGAAAAAATAGATAATTCTTTCGAACTGTAGGTCTTTTAATCTTTGAATTATCTGGATTTCGAAAAGCAATACAAAAAGTAGCTTTTTTAAATATTACGTCCAAAAGTGGTCTGTACTAGTAAAAATTTTCACAACTGGGAGACGATGTAAAATAAGGTTCTGCTTAATTGAAAATTTCCTCTAATATATAGGGCGTTACTTAATTAAAGGCCGTAATTGCAAGGTTACATCACTGAACCAAATTTGGGTAGAAATGTTTTCATGAACGTGGTCTTCAAGATACGGGGCATCAAAGTTTAAAAAAAATGTTTTTTGATCAACATCTCAATCCTTGTGCCGCTTTTGTTAAATTTTGGCAGCGTTGTTCATTGCAAGACGCTAAGTTAACACTAACTAGGAGACAATTATTAATAGCGCGGCGTCATGGGAGGAGGCAAGTCTCACGAATATTATTTAGAAAAAAAGGCACGCCACTGACCTTTTAAAAGAATATGTATACATATGTATATATTTTTTTCGAATTAAGCAGCTGATTATACAACTTTTTGTCTCCTGGTATCACTTCGTTTCTTACTTCATTAACGAAAAATAAATTTCATTCATTAAATAAATGAAGAAACTATGCAAGCAAAGGCCTGCATAGAAGCTGTAGGTGGTTATTTCTAATATTTTTTGTAAATAGTTGTTACTTTATGGTCTTTACATTTAAAAAATCGCTTGTAGATAAATCAAATTAAATTGATGTTATTTTAATTTTAATTTTACATGACTTGAATTAGTTTTTATTCTTTCCATCGGAAACGACGCGCGATACGAAGATACCAAGAGATAAAAAGGTTATACTTTCATCTCCTTAATTCGAAAAAAACATACATCTTTTAAAAAGTCAATGACTTACATTTTTGTCATTATTATTCTTGAGATTCTACCCCGAGACGCCTCTGGAATTCGTAAACTAATTAATTTGCGCCTTATTGTAAAGAAAATCATGTTTTGATTTAAATTTTTAAACCATACATTTCAGGACACATGTCCATACTATGAACTTCTTTACTTGTTTGTTGTGTGTTTCAACTGGTCCACTCTCCCTGAATTTTTTGATTAATCTTTTCACAGTTGACGAGGCCATATTTTGAATAAAATTTTCGAACTGCGGAAGCTAAACTTTCATAATTTTAAATTCAAAACACTGTCAAATTGTTTTGTTTTCATGGCTGCCTACAATTTACTGCAAACATGGCGGCAAATTCCAATCTTGCGTTACGTTCAAGATTTTATTGAAATTTTCAGAAATGACGTGATTTTGTTCTTTTCCAGGCTCGGATGGGTGTCAAAAAGATCCAGCGCCATGGGAGATAACAGGTGTTTCTCTGGAGGTGGTAAGTATTATACAATCTTACAATTCTACTTCTGTTTCCTATCCGTCACTCTCAGTAGCAAACTAATGAGGGATTCGGAAGCTACGCAACCGATTATTTACCATAAGAGTCTTCACCCAGCTTACGCATATACGCCAGAATTTTCATACTTCGAATGTACAGCAATTTTCCGCGATCCGGCAACGCCGCGCGGGCTCCGCGGCCCAATTGCCCGCCTCCGCGGCGAATCACGTACGTTTTTTTTTTATTTACGATCAAGATAGCCGAGAACCGAGTTGAATGGTTGCCGGTGTCATCGTGTGACGCGCCACTACGGTGCGCGTGGCGGTATCTAGCGGCAAAAACTGCAACCAGATCAATTATCGCTTGTGGAAATCCTGGCTAGCCATGACGGGCCGCGATCTTCTTCTGTTTCTTGTCGCGGAAACGCGTTAGGGTCTACTTGATTCGATTGTTGTAACAGAGGAGGCGACTCGTGGTCTATTGCCGACGATGAGGAATTCCAATTCTATCAGGAACAGTCAAAAATTAGTGGTACGATGTTACCTGCTTTTAAAGCTTTTCGTGGTAATTGTGTGTCGCATAGGGAGACACACACACAGTGCTTTTCAAAAAGCCCCCTTGGTATTTTTTCGTTCGATTGTCCAGAACATCTACTTTACAGCCATCTAGCGGTCACGTGGTGACTGGGCTATTAAACGTGAACTGAGATATCTAACAGTTGAAACTAATGTGATTTAACCTTTTAAATTGTTTTGTAATTGTAATGTCCTTATTTATTTTATAATTATAAGTATTTTTCTGGCATATTTGCTCAAACGCATATATGACCCTCAAATTGATATTGGCAAGTCTTATATCATGTAACATGATCCAATAGGACAATAAACTATCTATCTATCTAATAGAAGCTGCCTTTCCGCAGTGGTGGATTCTAATAGATGACGCTTTAAGCTGTTTTTATTAGGCTGTCCAGGTTGAGGGTTTTTGTACAATGTATACTTTATCTGAAGTCACTTGAAATAGCATAAAAACCTTTGGTCGGCGCGTCCTTTGTAATTTCATGACGTATCATAGGCGTGCGGTCATTTATTTAGAACGATAATAATAATGTTTTTATATCACAATAAATGGATTTTACTATCTTCTTATTTTTTTGATAAAAAATACTTATATTGGGAGTTTAATTTATGTTGACTGAAAGTTAAGAAATGGAAAAATTACAGAATTCCAACGTTTGCCATAGGCAAATATTTACATAGCAGGTAGGTATATAAAAAGGTATATAAAGACTAACATTATAGGTATTTATATATCATCCTCGCCTTCGGAGCTGTCGCTAGAGTCATCTTGTAGAGGAATTACAACGGGATTTACAGTAGGCAACACACAATATTCATTTTCTTTTTCAATAATATGCCTAGAACACTGCTTCCATAGGTCTGTGGCAGCAATATGAGATACTGCATCTCTTATTGTGGCCAATAGCGATTCACTTCATTGAGGGGTCTGATTATGTTTTCTTACTTTTTTTTAAAGCAGCCCAGACCAACTCAATCAGGTTAAAAATGCAGTAATAGGGAGGTAGGCGTAATATTTCGTGGCCATTTTGCAGAAGCAGATTGTCAACAACATACTCTTTTTCAAATTTTTGTCTTTTAATAAGATCCAATAATATGGCTTTGATTGATTTTTGTGGTATTTCCATTCCCTTATCCTTCATAAGATCAATAATGTCTTGTTTTTTGTGCCTGTATTCGGAATTTTGTTTTTCTGTCGGGAATGGTATGGTGCATTGTCCATAATAATCACTGAATTTGGGGAAATGTTTGGTATTAACTGCTGCTCTATCCACTTTTCAAATAAGTCGGAGGTCATGTCCTCATGATAGTCGGCACATGATTCTTTGATATTTTTGGCAGATAACAGCAAGGCATTAGGTATAATAAATCCATTTTCACTGCCAGCATGGAGAATAATGATTCGTTTTCCACGGTTGCATGGTGCATTTAAAATGCACTTGTTGCTGTCGTCAACCCAGCCGTACTGCACAACATCATGGGTATCATACCACGTTTCATCCAGGTAAATCAGATTTCTTTTCTGCTCTCTATAGATTTTAACTTTGTGCAAAAATTCTTGGCGCAATTCAACGATTCGAGACGACTCCATAATCACCATTCTTTTATCTAATTTTTTGTATAGAAAACCACACAGTTTTACAATACAGTGCAGTGAGTCTAAGCATTTGTAATTATAAAAATCTTCAGGATAATCTTTTAATTTATCCCGTATCATTTCCAACATGGGCACCAAATTTTCTTTATAAAATCCGTATATTATACGACGAATATCTTCCTGAAAACCCACGTCTATTCTTTTTGATTTTTACCCTATGCGCTTTCTGTGGAAGGAATGGTTGACTACATCTCCCCTTTTTATAACCCGATAAATGGTAGACCGACTGATTTTTGTCAGGATACAAATTCTGTTTAAAATTTGATTTTGCGAGGAATCTGGATTTTCGTTTTTCAGACAATCATACATATTTAGAATTACTCTTTGGGTCTGTTCCTCTAAATCTTTATGAAAGAATTCTGCCTGCACAGGTTCATCAACCATCTCCTCGTGGCTTGGAGCATTTTCCCAAGGTCTCCAAAGAGCCATATTTAGGACACACAAGAACAATCAACACAACAATTAAATCAACAAGTAAACTGAGTATTCAAAAGTCAAAAACACACAAACTAATAAAATCTATGAAAAAACACGGACAGACTAAAGAAAACACGTTTATTCACCGCTACACGGCACTGGCTAAACTGTTTCAATTTTCAGTAGCCACCTGCACTTTTTCGGAGCTCTGAAATACACGCTTTCTCATTGGCTATGTCCACGCATAGGCGTGCTTTACTCCACGTGGACCGGTGAAACTGCCTTTGATCTTATACGGATATTTGCTGCGAAATTTGGCGATTTTTGCAGCAACAGAGCGTGTTAAATATAGATATATAAAACGCACCCGGTATTTCACAGTGTTTCAGGTGACTTCAGATAAAGTATACTTTCTTTAGAAAATCAAGGGTATGATATTTTCAAGCGCATTTATCATTTCCAGAAATTTAAAAACATCCATACATATACGTGTATTGTTTACACGTTGCAAATGCAAAACTATGTAAATTTCCTCAAAATTGCACAGAATAGATAGTTGCTAGTTTTTTAGGGGCAAAATGGCATTCATTTCATTATTGGCCCGCAACTCGAATCATCGTATCAAAATAGAAATCTTGAAAATAAAGCTAAAATTTTATATTCATCCCTGAATACCTTTTTTTTACTTTATGACCATTAACGTTGACGTTTCTTTGTTGACAATTTGTATGGCGTCACATCATGGCCGATAATGTTTTCACCGTTTCATATCAAAAACAAAACATTTTTTTTTAAATTGGACTTATATACCTCCTTGCGCATTTAAAAATTAAAATCGATACATTTCGTTTTCCTAAGCCAAAAGTAAGAAATACTCGTTTATTCCATGAAATTAGATAAGACGATCCTTTTTTCAGTCGAATTGACGGAATAATAAAGTGATAGTTAATTTGATGATTATGAAAATTCACAATCCCGGCTTTAATTCCCGAGTGAGTAACAAACCCCCTATTATTGGTGTAACGCCACTGTCTTACGCTACGGACAAAGATATCGGCCGACCCTAATTGTCCGGAATCGAGAAGGGCTACCGTTCGGGTTCGGGACGATTCGGGTTGATAGTCAGGTGGCGCCATCTGTCCACGACCTTGATAAATTGGTTGGGGTGGGGCGATTGGATGGTTGGTGTAGCCGAATTCGGTCGGAACGCGTGCGAAATCGGGCAGTTTAGTACGGGGCATTTAGATTATGATCCGAAAAGGTGTTCGGGTGTTCGATGGGTCAGATATACTATAACTATCTAAAACTGTAATGACTCATCGATGTTCACGTGAACATCACTTAACTACCAGTAGTCGGCTGTTCATAGGCGGGGTATGAATGTTTAACATGGGTGAACTAGATTTGTCACATGCTTAATAAAGAGTGGTTTGGAACATATTGTAAGTCAAAAATTTGGGAATTACCTTTATTCATCGCCGCTTCCACTTACATCTGACAGTAATAAACTGTCGCTATCGCTTTCCTCGTTGAAATTGACTATAACTGGCTCTATGATGGTGTCGATGTGGTGGTCAAGCTGCCACATTTTTGTTTCTTCCTTCACAACATGACGGATAGCATTCTGCCAAGCTTCGGGCGTTACTAGCTGTATGGAAGTCTCAAGTAAAACCTTAACGTCTGGTAATTTGAAGGTTGTGTTATGGCGCGCAATATAACCCTTCACTTGAGCTCTTTGGGTTCAGTTCACAGTGGTAGGGCGGTAACCGTAGCACAGTGACACCACATTGACGGGCCATCTCATCAGTCACGTAACTAATGTTCGCAGGTTTGTGCTGTTTAATTTTTTCATGCAATTCCGCTTTCACACATGAATCGTCAAACGGGATTCCTTTTTCGCGCAACCATTGCTGCATGTCACTTTTTCGTGATCCCATAGTCGGTACACGTTCGGCTCGACGACTATGGTAGGAAGCATTATCCATGACGATCACAGAGTTGGGCTCAACTCGCTGAAGCACCCCTTGAAACCAGCTCTCGAAGCAGCTGGCATTCATTTCGTCATGGTAATCACCTCCTTTCTTAGAGACGAAAATCAAGTCACACTCTTCTAAAAAGCCACTATCGCTACCAATATGAGTTACGATCAATCTTTGACCTTTCCCTGACGGTCCACGAAGACCTGTTGACAAACCTTCAATGCTTGCTTGTCGGTTACTCACTACGTTTTTGTCTATCCAGGTTTTTTTAACTGTGTGACCTGCATTTACCCATGTCTCGTCCAAATAATAGATTTTTCTGCTTTGTCGCCTATACTCAATCATTTCGCGTAGGTATTTTCGACGCCAGGCGACTATTTCAGGTCTCTCTATCAATACTGACTTCCGATTACGCGTTTCGTAACGAAAATTAATTTCGTGCAGGGATTTCCTCATTACCTCGACGCTCATTTGGGGTATAATTTCATTTTCCTTGATCGCTGCATGTACAGCCTTGAGGGTTGGTATCTCATTCCTAAAGAAGAATGAATGTACGGTTCGCCTTAACGCCATTTTGCTATCGTCATCCAATTTAACGGCCTTTCGTCCCTTCAAATTAAACTTTGGATCAGTAGTAGCTCCAGTTTTCTTCTTTTCATGCACCACCCTGCGAATGGTCCACTCTGGAACGCCTGTCATACTTTCACAATGCGCGAGTGCATCTCCCTGCGACATAGTTCTGTTCAGATAATTGAACACGTTGAGCGCGATTTCTTTCGCGTCCCTCTTCAGTGCTTTACGAAGCCGTCTACTTGTTCCCTGGCTTTCTGCACTTCCACTCGTGCCATTTGTACTCTCCATGGTTAAGTATAACCAAAACAGTAACCACAGAAACCACAACAATAACAATCACACAACAATTCTTATAAAAACCCACAATATGCGATCGCTCAACGAAACACGTTCCAATGCGTTGCCGACGCCTATGAGTCTGCCGGTCGAGGCGCGTCTTTGATTTCATTGGTTCTACCGGCGGAGAACAATCAGCCATTATTTCCATCTCTGTCTGTGCTGTTGACCACCGCAAAGCCACAGAAACGACATATGTCGTACGCTATACGGCTGTACTGGAAGGAAGCCGGGATCGAGCTCTGATCACGTGTTGATCACGCGTATGAGTCATTACAGTTTTAAATAGTTGTAGTATAGGACATTTACATAGATACGAGGGCGGGCAGATAAAGAAAAACGAAAATTTTGGAAAGCGATGCTCCAACATCCTTAACCCATCTGAAAAATACGTTTTCTGGAGGTATGTAAAATTTCTCCCGGGCGAGTGACTTTTTCAAGTTTGGAAACAAAAAAAAGTCGCACGGGCCCAAATCTGTAGAACGCGGTGAATGGGGCAGCAGTTCGTAACCTGATTCTGTGAAAATTCTCCACGGCGGCGACTTACCCTTCTACGACCATCGTTTGTACCTAGACAGAATCGCGATTCGTCGCTGAAGATGACATTCTGCCATTCTGCCTGCCAATGTTGCAGTCCAAACGTTGGCGTCACTGGTCCGCAGTCAGAGGAAGCACTAACCGTGGATGGTATGAAAAAGGTCCAACGGTTCTAATGCGGCGATAGAATGTACGCATAGTGTTTACCTTCTCCAATCCAGTGGTCAGCGATCTGACGCGTAGTAACAAAACGGTCTCGTAGGGCTAGTTGCTCTCAGAAACTGCTTTCTTCACAAAGTAAGAGATAACAAAAACAAAGATAAAACGTTAACATGCTTTAGATATAGTCATTATGTTGCTAAAAAGCAAAGTTTACACCCTGTATTCGTAAAATCCTTCGCCCACCGTAAAAAAACAGAGCAAACGCCGCTGGCATTGGAGCGTGAGACAGAGATGCGAGATGAACGGAATTTCTAACTGGTTGTGTGAGGATGAAGAAAGTTCACGTTATTGATTCCTTTCCAAGAATGTCGGATTGCATTGGCTGCGCTTTGTAACGATTATATTCACTTGGAAGTGGTTATCACGTTTTTACGAATTCGAATAGATTAGGATCCAAGCATCGTTTGTCGCCAAAATTGTTTGGTTTTAGTGCATACTTTTGGTTACTTTGACTACCATTTGTTACCACAGTGGCAAGCTAATGCATAGGCATACATGACTTTCTTTGGAAATGATATTCAAGTAACAATTCGTACTATTTGTATTGTACTGGTACAAAACTGCTTAATTCGTAATTTTGGAAGGTAACAGCATTTTCACCATCAATCAACAACAATGGCGGAATTCCTGATATTGGAAATAGTGGTGCACAATTAAACATAGTCATAACACCAGATAAAAATTACGCGCAAAAATGTTCCTATATCAAACATATTTGTAATGAAACCTGTATCTAGCTAAAAAATTATATGAAAATTCACCAAATGATTTCACACAATTTCATAATACATTAAACTTAAAACAAGATTTGAAAAATGGAACACTTATAAGAAACAATATCATGGAATAGTCTCAAATAATACACAGTAAATACCATAATTCTTACAAATAATATATACTCAGTGACATATAAATCCGAACACCCAGTTTAAATGGTTTTATTTTAATAAAATTTTGTATTAGTACTTAATGAAGCATAATAAGTAAATGATAAAAATTTCAAAATGATTGCACTGCTTTAAAGCCCTTTGGCCTTTAATAATGTGTGGATGCACCCTGATGTGCTACGCATTCTCCAACGCGCCTAGGCATGCTTCTGATCAGGTGGTCAATGTCCTCCTGTGGTATCTCATTCCAGGCAACCACCAACTCCTCTCGAAGTGCTTCTAGAGTCTGTGGAGGACGTTGCAAATTGAGCAATCTCCTACCCATCATATCCCACACGTGCTCAATTGGGGATAAGTCGGGAGATCTTGGTGGCCATGGTAACAATGTGACATCATTATGTTAAAAGAAGTCTATTGTGACTCTTGCAACGTGTGGTCGGGCATTATCTTGTTGGAAAGTTGGATCTGCCAGGGTGTCAAGATAGGGTAAAAGATGGGGTTCTAGAACTTCGTGGATATAACGCTGCGCGTTCATGTTACCTCTGATGAAGATTAAAGGTGACCTGGAACCATAAGCTATAGCACCCCAAACCATAACTCCAACAGTGTGATGAACATGTCTTTCAACAAAAAACTGTGGATTCCTCCTTTCACCACGTCGCCTTCTAACCCTGGCACGACCATCGTGCATGCCTAAACAAAATCGAGACTCGTCACTAAAGACAATACTGTTCCATTCCTGATCCCAGAGTGACCGTTGTCTGCACCACTCAAGGCGATTACGTCGGTGTTCTCGAGTTAAAGGGAGGACCCAGTATGGCCGGTATGAAAACAAGCCAAAACTTCTCATTCGTCGGTAAACACTTCGCATGCCAATAGGTCTTCCGTGTTCTGCAAACCATTCATTTGCAATGGACCTGGTAGTGGAGAAACGGTCCCTTAAGGCCAATAATCTTAGGCGGCGATCTTCACGGTCGGTTGTTCTACGGCGGCGTCCAGTGCCCCTTGCTCTTTGCGTACGGCCTTCTCGAAGCCATGCCTGACAACACCTAACCACAGTGTCTACACTTCTTTGCACTCTAACTGCAATTGCCCGAAAAGAAAGTCCAGCTTCTCGAAGTCCCACCATTCGGCCCCTATCAAACTCACTAAGTTGACGAAATCGTACAGGTCTCCGTACTCTAGGCATCGTAACCGATCGTAAAGGATGTCAAGAATTAAAATCCGCCAACGTTGATTCTTTACTGCGGCTGAAATATTCATTTTTAGAGCGTTAGTGAATTAAAAAAAAGCAGTATAAAAACCGGAATGTCCAACTGATAAGGCTGACAATTTTTTCACTTGTTATTTACAGTAAGATAAATACGTTCACCAACTTTTATTAAAATAAAACCATTTAAACTGGGTGTTCGGATTTATATGTCACTTAGTATACATACCATTGATCCATGCAAGGATATTCTATGGATACATTAATTTATTTATTCATTTCATATTACCTGTATTTATAGCGTAAATAAATATTACTATTGCCTTGCATGAATTATAATAGGTTTTTCTAAATTTTTGTCGTGATCCGAGTAGATTCTTGGCCAAAAACAAATACCTAAGTTGAGCTGAAATGACCAAATGATTCCAAAATTCGAAATTTGTATGGTTTTAGTTTGACATCAAAAAAAATAATATAATTATCCAGCATCCCTAAAACATTTTTTTGTAATATAGTATTTTTTAGAACGTAACTATACAGGGTGCCCCAATATTCTGTGGACATAGACCAAGTATATTTAGGCTCAAAATAATAAATAATAATAAGAAAATATTTTAGAAACCACCTCCGAGTAAGATTTTTTCTCGATAACTATGATTTATGAGTCAAGAAATGAAGTAAATAAAACGATCCATTGAATGAAAAAAAAAACAGAGTCGTTGGGAGAGTTGAGTAGAAAATCATTTATGTAGGGGTGGGAGTAGTTTTCATTCAAATGGGGCTAACGGTTCCAAAGATACCTAAAAAATGCGTTTTAAAACGAAAACCTTCTAACCGACAAACAAAGCACTTTTGCACAAAGGTTAATCATGTCCATATTTTGGGCCCAAAAATTTGTGGTCCTTCTATGTCCACTGAATATTGGAACACCCTGTAAAAAGGCGACGTTTAATAATTTCCTACGAATCTCGATGTTTGCATACATTTCGATACCCATATGTATATGCAGCTGTCATGAAATCTCTTCGAACGCATTCCTTTAGCGCTATTAAAAACCGTCGAAACAGAAAATCTCATATGCCCGGAATTCTCGCGCGACTCGGCAACGGCGCCCCGGTTCGTTCAAACGTCCATTTCGGTATCGTCGATCGCGTTGCATAAGAGCGATAACAACAACCGGCAGGCGGCATCGTTGAGACACGCGGTGCGCAGAGCAATTCAAGAAATGAGCGCGAGAGAGACGGAGCGACACGAACTAATGGGACCGCGCGCGAGCGCGAGAGAGACGGAAGACGGTTGCACCGGGCGGACACTTGTTGCAGATCGCAGGCGGCCACGGCCGGCGGTCCTCGATGTGTGTGTGCGGTGCCGCGGTGCGTGTGACGACGAGGGATTCCGCAGATTGCGCGCTGCCAGCAGGGCGCATAGGCGTTACCGGATAAATTGCTGGAAGGTCGAAATATCCCTAACAGAGGTTAGTCTTGTGCGGAGGCAGGCGAAAAATCTGTTAGGAGTATGGTTTGCCAAGTTGATCTTCATCAAAATCTCGTACGATGAAAGATGACGGAAAACCGCTACGTTACCGGCCCAAATCTGTTTGACGTTCTGCGCAATGTACAGATCGATGTCGCGCTACCAAAACTGTAGATCCAACCAGCAGCCGGAATACAAAGTATCTACAGAACAGCAATGACTTTCTATTGGTATATGTGTATATTCCGTACTGATGAGTTGCTAATGAGCAGAAAACAGCGCTGGCTGCGGTCGTATTTACAGAGTCGGAAAGCCAGCGTGTCCATAAAAACCCTTTTTTGTAATTTCGCTCATAAAAATCATTCGACACGTAGACGATTTTCACCAGCGGTCTTCGGTCTCCTGATCAGTCGCTGTGCTGGTCCGAGTCCCGTCCCAGGAAAAATGTTTCTCTTGGCTATGGATGTTGTGATTGTCCGTACGTGGTAGACGGTCTCTGACTGTTGAACGTGGAGGTACCACCCGATGGATCTCGTAAGCGGGGCCAGAATGTGTACATGTTGCATGCACACGTGTTCCCTCGCCAGAGTCCGTGTGGCGTTCTCCCTTTCCCCTGTATCCCCCTATAGCCCCACGGTACAATGGGTGTTTAGGCCTTAAGCCTTCGTGATAGTTGGAGTATAAAAAAAACACTACCAAGTATAGTCCCTGTATTGTTTATACTGGGTACGGCGTTGTGACGTCACACGTCACCTTTAGAGGGAACGAAAATATTTCTGTGGAAGAATATAACTTTTTTTTTCAGAGATAAACCGCAAGGTGAGTTAACAATGAAAAAAAAAACTGGAGTGTTTGGGGAATGATTTGCTTGATCATCATCCCTATTCTCTTAATTTGGAACTCTAAGACTTCCATGTTCCCATTAAGAAATTCCTTTTTAGGCAGTGCTTTGGGTTCGATGAACCAGTTGAGAGGGCCATAGATCGAGATTTTGACATCCTTCCAAATTCCCACTTCTGAGAAGGAATCCTACTGCAGGAGAAACTTTGGCCCAAGTTTGTTGTAGTTGAAAATCGCAGTATTTTATTTTCAGGCCGAGAACTTTTCACTCAGCAATAGGCTTTCTTCTACTTCAGATTCCATCTCGGCTCTGCTCTATACATATCATAGTCTAACTGGTCGGGTTAAAGAGGGAATTTGCCTGATTTTACTAATTTTCAGACTAGCTAAAACGCTTAAATCAAACTCTACAGGCTGTCCTCAAATTTGGAAGTTTCCTTAACAGAGCGTATAGGTCAGGCAAGAATAAGCAAGATTAGTAACACTTATAACAAAACTTCAAGTTTTCCGAAAAACTCTAATTAACCTATCCCGACCCCGCCTTCGTCCCCTCCTTCCTCAAAGGGTAGGATTTGTGATACTATGACTATAAATATGACTCAGTATCCAAATCAGGTGAAGCTCGGGGTTTAGCTTAACCTAGTTTATAAACAAACCACACTTAAAAACAAATTGTCACATTCCTACAGCAATAACGCAGTGTTCGTCGCCGTCGTCCTCGATGTTTCTTTCCATCAGAGCTGTATATGTTTGTTTATATGGTGCAAAAACTGTCTATGTCGACACAGCAGTAGAAGGCCTAGACGGTTCTAAATGTTACAAATTTGGGAAGAAGCTAACAAACTCGCGTTTTTGAATCGAACACCGACAACTTCGAGCGGTAATTACAAAAAAATAAATAGTGAGTATTTTTCATCAATTTCTGTTTTACATTTTTAGTGTTTTTTTTTTTATTACAAATATAGTTGTTTCTGAAAAGGCAACTCACACTGAGGACACCGTCCTGCGGCTGCAATATTCTGGTATTTAGGCGTTGCCTTTCCGTTTGCCCGAGCATTAAACAGAATCCATGGGGTACTGACGTACAAACACGAGCTGAGTAACTTTAACATGTATGATTTTTCCGTTATAAAGATCCTAATTCTCTTGTATTATACGGATGAGTCTTAAGTGGAATTAACTGCCGTCCGCCTGGTACTTACTACTTAATCGCTGGCTACGTTTACGGACAACCCTGAACTTAGCTGATTAGAGCGCGACCGACTGCGACTTGAACAGAGTCAAACATTCGCAGCGGTGTTGTCAGATCTACGTCTGGAGTTTTCCTTACTCTTGAGATACAATAATTCACCCGGTTTTATGCGTTCGCATAATAATGGTTGTCGAAGGATGCACTACTGGTGTGGCTGGTATCTCGCCAATTGATTTGCTGGCTGAAGAGAGATACGTGCTCTATATACAGGGCGTCGAATTAGAGGCGACAAAAAACACACGCTTTTTGTTACATGATAGGAAGAAAGTTTGAATGCAACTGGTCATGGTGCAAGAACTAAAGGGTCCCCGCGATATTTAAGTGTGGTAGATGGGTTGACCACCAGAGACAGCTGGAACTGAAGTTTGGCGAGAGGCTGACAATTTTAGCCAGGCATGTGAACGAGGGCAAATGGGTTGACATTCAACCAATAGTAAGGCGGGTGATGCTGAGCGAGATACAGGGCAATAAGAACAGACCGAAGAATCAATAACGGCTTTCTACATGCTGGGCTGTAGATTTACATAGCTGCTTATATATACTCTTTAATTTCTTTGGGTATTGCAAAAGTACACTCTTATAACTTAAACTCTCAAGCTTTCGAGGATCTATGTCTTCATCGTCTGGAGCTGGAAACAATTATTGACAATAGCAACAAATAACATTTGGGCGAAAAATATTTACTAAGTCGGCGAGATTGTTGCTGAAATTGTTTTTAAACAACAGTGAAGGGAACACACATCGTCGACGAATAAAAAACTGGACTGATGAGGTTCGACTAGGTCGGAATTAATTATTTTATTTAATTAAACGTTAATTGATTTGGGAAGAAATTTGGAATTGTTTTTTCTCAACTATCAACTATTGAAAATTCCTTCGAGATTTCATCTTTTCCAAATTTCTTCCAAAATCAATTAACGTTTAATTAAAAAAAACTTTCAAAATGATTTGAAATTTAATAATAAAATAATTAATTCCGTCCTAATCGAACCTCATCAGTCCAGTTTTTTATTCGTCGACGATGAGTTTCCTTCACTGTTGTTTAAAAACAATTTCAGCAACAATCTCGCCGACTTAGTAAGTAACTATTTTTCTCCTAATTGTTATTTGTTGCTATTGGCAATAATTGTTTCCAGCTCCAGACGATGAAGACATAGATCTTCGAAAGCTTGAGAGTTTCAGTTATAAGAGTGTACTTTTGCAATACTTTATATAATAAAATGACTGAATACCTCTACCATGAAAACTTAGCACTACTACCCACCATGACGCAATGTTGCATTACCGCGGTGGGATGTATAGCGAACGGATGAGGGTTTTAGCTTCTGGAGAATCAGAGAATCACTTCGATCAGGAAAAAATGAAAATTGCAGTATTGAACAAAAACTTATTCCGCTATGAAAATACGTAATAGTAGTCGCACAAGCTACATGTGACGTGAGTACTACTACATTACGGCACGCTAGATACATGAGCAACTATTTACACTTGGTTAATAGAATATCAGAAAATGTAAGGTTATTACGTAAAAACCTATACAATGTCAAAAATAATCGTTAGAATTCAACTTGTCTTCTACGTAGCCGTTAGTGGGTGTGTTAGTATTTATTTTATGGGAAAACCTACATAATGCCAAAAAAGCCTTGCATAAATGACATAGAAAATCGATATAATGTCAGTTCTTGAGTTATGTAATACGGGTACAGGAGTCCGCGTTGCTCTACTTGTCATAAAAAAAGCTTGAAAATATTCTATTCGCATCACTTTTCTGCTTCATGAATAGATTTAAGTTGACTGTACTAAACCCGTATCTCTCCGCCTATGCTCTTTGCGGCGTCGACGGTGGCTGTGCTTTGCCGCCATGACGCGCCGCGGTGAAATCCCGTCGGCGGCGGCCGATCGTCACTTGTTTGCAGTCGGAACAGCTGGGTCGATTACACTTAGCGGCCGGCGGCACGGCCCGCGCGTTCCGGCCCCGCACGAGAGACCAACAAACGGAATGACAAAACGCCGCGCGGCAGGCGAGGCGACGTTGCCGAGCTGTGGAGGTCGTCCGGAGATATGGGGAAATTCGCATACCACCTCGAGAAATCAGTATTGTCTACATATAAACTATAGAATCAAGGAGGCCATATAGGCGTACTACTTATGTCGCAGAAGTACTGATTATTTTGGTTTTTTTGTATGTGGCCTAGGAGATTTTCTTACGATAAATCTAGACAACAAATATTTTTGGACGATTAGAGAAAAATGATAAAAATAAGCAATTTCAAAGTTCACTGTTACTATATGCAAGGAAAAAAGCACAAATTGATAGAAAGTAAATAAAATCACGATTTAATCGAAAAAAAACTGCTAGTTTCTATGGATGGCTGAGTTCAGCTTAGGAGCCATTCATTTCGGCTGGTCGGAGTCCAGATCAATGAGGAATTATTTGATTTGGCACGATCACGTCTTGTCAATCTGCCGAGAAAAAGTTGGGTTAAAATAAAAAACATATTTTTTACGGGTCACTCCTATGAATTTTTTTTTCAAAGTTGATCGAAAAAACAATTTTTGGAATTTGTTCAAAAAAATTGTTTAAATAATTTTGGCCTGGCAACATGCAGATTCTTTGGAAGGTGTCCTTTCTGAATAAGATTATGGAAAAAAACGAATCAGAATATTTTTCGGTGAAAGTGCGAGGATACTTCCTGGGTTATAAGAATTTAGGAGCATCGAATAAAAGTGATTATGAAGTTTTCGCCTCGTCCACAGATAAATCCAAATATCGCTGACGAGGAAATGCAGAGAGAGAGAGAGAGACGCGTGCAATACGTATTGTTAGAAAGAGTGCACCGGTGGCAACTCGGTTGCTAGGCAACGTGGTGCTTCTATCTCCTAACATTAGTACGTATACCATAAATTGTACTGAATTAATCAATGGACGTACGTCGATGATAAAATCACGATGTCATGAATTTATATTATGATTTTGCGAAGTTAGGTTATTTCACTGATTATTTTTATTTCCATTTTATTTACTGGTTTTACGTGATACCTTAATAATAATTTTAGTGGGGAGTTTTTGTTAAAAAAAAAACAGTTATGATTAGAATATACCTTAAGACATTAACACCAAAGACGAAAGTATTAATCGAAAATAACCTAACCTGCTTTAACATAAGCTAACTATTCATCTTCCAAATATGATCGATCATGCAACTTGAAAACATCGTCTATCTTTGTCGTGATTCATGCAAATTAGCAATACAGTTTTTTTAGACAATAAAAATCTGTTTGTCTCTGTCTAACATATCTGAAACTTCATTAAAAATATTCTGCTTTACTAGGTACAGACTAAAATGATGACGTAATCGTCATCTCTCGTGATTTCGACTATACAGGGTGACTTCGAAGTTGAGTCATTTATTTTAACAGTGAGTAGATCTGATCAAAAGAAATGTTTTTTTTCTTTACCATTTTTCTGGTAAAATTAAAGTAACAAAGTTATAGCCCTTTGGAAGTTTGAGTACCGCCCTGTCTCAATAATAATATTATGTGCTCGTGTTTGGCAACAACGGATATAATCCGCCTTATCGGTTCATCGCATCGGAAACAAAAAAGCGAAAGAATGTGGAACGATGTTTTTACAATTATTTTATTCAGTTGTATACAGTCAGTGTCAGTCGGTAACGCGTGAGTGAATAGTGGTGTCTGTTGCGTGGCTCAAACGAAATAAAAAATGGCACATGTTTACGAAAATGCTGAACTTGTGGACATGATTCTTATTTACGCGGCATCACGGATTCATGCGGATCGGTTTCCCAATCGAGTGCAACCAACCCCTCGTGCCTTTGTTAATGTAGTACAAAGGGCTCGTGAATCAGGTGACTTAAGACCTCACAGGGGACGGCATGCCGGTGCTCCAAGACCGCACGAACAAATACAGGTCCGCACTGAAATATTTGTCGGGAGGATACTTTATAAAACAAGGTAACATTTTTTTTTATTTTTACACACATATTTTGGTTTATCTTCCTTCTACAATCATTATCTGAAATTAATGACTCAACTTCAAAGTTGTATATGGATATGGATGAGGATCATTTTTATAAAACTTTTCTTATGAAGTTCGATTTTTTTCCAATTCTCACGATTTTGATATCTAATTTCCAACGTTTATCAGTTGCTGTGTTTCTTATATTAGTCCCGGTCACGTTCGTTTTTCTTTTTAGCTTTTTGACACGGCCCGATCCGAATAACTCAAACCGAGAGAACTTTTGCTGGATATCAACGAATAAAACGTTCTTTCTTACACTATACGAATTATGAATTACTAGCGTTATCGCCATCAAACTGTTAAATAGTCGAAAACGTGTGACTTTCTCTAGTTAGTCGTCGTTAATTGATATTTGCGTTTTGCAGCGATTTGCTTTGAGGTTAGTATTTTTTAACATAACTACATTGCGAATGGAATAATATATACCGAAAATGCGGGTAGACAAAAGCCTAATCACCAGCGCACCGCGGATGGTAAATTCGCAGTACATTTCCTATCATGTGACAAATTTTTTAGTTTGATTTTATTCAAAAATGACACCATTTATCCATATTCAATAAGAGTACCTTTTTTATGTAGAAAATAGATTCACACAAAAATTTTGGGGCTAAAATAACCTGAGTCCGTCCCTGTTACATATGCTTCCAAACAAAACTGTCTAAAATTGTTAATATTTTTAAATCCAGCATGAAAAACTAGGCTAGAATACCAAATTTTATGTCTTCATCTCAATACGTTTCGGAAATATTAAGGAAAAACCATCTTCATGGGAGCCCCTTTAAAAGACCGTAGCGCCCTTAGGGGACGTTTGTCGACCTATGTTTATATAAACTTTCTTTCCTATTTGAAGCTCTAGAAACCGCTGGTAGAATATTGCACACTTTTTTCGGGACACCCAGTATAGGTGATTGTTGAAATTTCCCCTCCTATTGACGAGTCCTACAAGCAGTTGAAATTAATGACTCAACTTTGAAAACGCCCTGTAGAGCTCTAGCTATAACAGCGTACAAAGCACTACAGACAATCCTCTTGACTATTTTTTTTCGGTTAGTGAAATATTCGAGCTCCGTACAGTTCGCGCTTGAATCGTATCGTTTCAAACTTCCGAAAAAGCCGAATGTTCGTTCGGCGTTCGGTAGGAAAATTCTAGAAAGCTGCCATGATTACATAATCACCGGCGACGTAGTGACGACGGCTGACGAATTGAATAATAAGATAGAAAGAGATAGATATGATCTATTTTCGTCAGTGTTTGTTAGGAGTATTTACATGAGAAACGTCGGCGTTGGTGGTAAAACGCACGTAGGTGTTTCACCAGCACTCGCTATTGATCTCTCCTCTAGAGAGAGCAAGACGCAAATTCATCCGTTCCATTGTGTTTCGCCGTTAGGCATTATAACAAAATGGCCGACACCGAGCGTTGTCCATTTTACTTCTCACGAATTTTAATTTTTCATGGCTATGTGACATTCTGCTATCCAAATTAAAATATGGGGTTGTCCAAAACGGATGCAGGAAAGTAAACGCATATTAAAACAAGAAAGATTGGTATTCAAATCAAGTTGGGTACTTTATTTTGAAGGTTCATTTATACCATTTATGTATGAAAAATAATATCGAGCTCAAATGTTCACCACGACTGGATTTACAGACGTCCACGCGATGGTCGAAATTTTCAATGACATTTTGCAACATGCTCGGTTCTATGGCATTTATCTCCGCAATGATGTTGTTTTTGAGTTCTTGGAGGGTGGCTAATTTGTTGACGTAGACTTTGCTTTTCAAATATCCCCATAAAAAGAAGTCCAAGGGAGTCAAATCGCACGATCTTGGTGGCCATGGCACATTTCCTCTGCGCGAAATCACGCGATCACCGAAGAAGGACTGCAATCGATGGATATTGACGTTAGTTGTGTGGCATGTTGCACCGTCCTGTTAGAAATAAACATCGTCCATATCCATTCCTTCAAGTTGCAGCAAAAAATAGTCCTCTATCATTACGTGATATCGCTCAGAATTGACGGTAACGGCGTCCCCGGCCGCATTTTCGAAAAAGTAAAGTCCGATGATGCCTTTTGACCACAATGCACACCACACAGTCACTTTTTGAGGATGCATCGGCTGCTCTTGATACTCACGGGGATTTTCGTTCGCCCAGATGCGGCAGTTTTGCTTGTTTACCGTCCCATTCAAAGTGAAATGCGCTTCGTCGCTGAACATGATTTTTTACGAAAAATTGGCATCAATTTGGCGGTGTTCAAGGAGCCAATCTGAGAACGTTCGGCGCGAAAAATGGTCGGCCCCACGCAGCTCTTGCGTCAATTGGATCTTGTAGGCGTGTATATTCAAATCCTTGTGGAGAATGCGGAGCAAACTGGTTCTCGAATTGCCCAATTCTTGGGATCGACGCGTTTTTGATTGTTTCTGATCGTCTCTCACACTCTCCTTCACAACAGCAATATTTTCCGGTGTGCGAACGGTCCTTGGCCGGCCAGAGCCTGGCAGATTTGCCACAGAACCTGTTGCCTCGAATTTACGCACCAGACGGCCGATGGTTGTTTCGTTTCGGCGGTTGTTGCGACCGAAATGTTCACGAAGCGCGCGAAACGTGTTTTTTATTTTTGCACCATTTTTGTAGTGCTCTTGAATAACTTTAATGCGGTCTTCAATCGAATACGACTCCATAGCGATCAATGGTAAACATTCAACTAACAAAATGACATGTCGGCGACAGAAAACAATGATGGCGTCTATGTCAAATTGACGTTTACTTTCCTGCGTCCCTATTGGACAACCCATTACTAGGGTTTTTTTTAAATCTTATTTAGACTAATCGTAAGCAAGGAGTTTCTGCTAGTGCTGATATTGCTTCCGGTGTTCCACAAGGATCCGTACTTGGTCCCTTGTTATACTTAGTTTTACATAGCTGCCTTTTTGGACATAGAGGGAGCATTTAAAAATGCCTTACCAGAATCCCTCCATGAATCAATCACCTCCAGGGGTGTGAATCCTCTGATCTGCGGCTGGATCAGAAGCATCTTGACATGCAGAATCATAACGACATCCTTACAGATCTAGACCTACCAGGAGGTAGGTGTTGGAGCCGGTATACGAGCCCCTTCCCACTTCAGTTGGCCCACTTCAAGATTTGTACCAAAATATGCCTTTATAAACTAAACATGACGAAACTATTTACTTCTAAAACAATTCATTTTCTCAAAAACATTTTAGATACACTATAGTCGTAAAAAAGTCATATTTGAAATCACTTAGATCTATAACTAATAGAACATCTGAATAAATAAACAATGTGCGAATAAATGCGCAAAGCAACAATTGAAAGATTACCATTGGTAACATCCCCTTTATTTTTTATTACGGCCGAAATTATTTGCGGCATAGTGTTAACCAAGTTTTGGCAAAAATTTGGTGTAAAACAATCCCATATTTCTTGAAGCTTTTGTCTCAGTTCGGTGATTGTACGAGCAGGATGTTGTCGTAGAACCTTTTTCATCTCCTGCCACAAAGTTTCAAGATCTGGACTGCTAGAAACCCATTTCAAAAGTGGTACATCAACATGAAGTGGTTATTGACTTCCGTTAGGGTCACTTCGAAGTTGAGTCATTTATTTTAACAGTGGGCAGATCTGATCAAAAGAAATGTTTTTTTCCTTTACCATTTTTCTGGTAAAATTAAATTAACAAAGTTATAGCCCTTTAGAAGTTTGAGTACCGCCCTGTCTCAATAATAATATTATGTGCTCGTGTTTGGCGACAACGGATATAATCCGCCTTACCGGTTCATCGCATCGGAAACAAAAAAGCGAAAGAATTTGAAACGTTTATCACGATGTTTTTCGTCAGTCGGTAACGCGTGAGTGAATAGTGGTGTTTGTTGCGTGGCTCAAACGAATAAAAAAATGGCACATGTTTACGAAAATGCTGAACTTGTGGACATGATTCTTATTTACGGGGGGGGGAGTCTTTACAAAATGCTGCCGCGGCATCACGGATTAGTGCGAGTCGGTTCCCCGAACGAGTGCAACCAACCCCTCGTGCCTTTGTTAATATAGTACAAAGGGCTCGTGAATCAGGTAAGACCTCACAGGGGAGGGCATGCCGGTGCTCCAAGACCGCACGATTAAATACAGGTCCGCACTGAAATACTTGTCGGGAGAATACTTTATAAAACAAGGTAACATTTTTTTTTTATTTTTACACACATATTTTGGTTTATCTTCCTTCTACAATCATTATCTGAAAATTAATGACTCAACTTCAAAGTCACCCTGTATACACCTCCAACCACAGTAATTCTACGCGCATATTAGGTGTATTTCACCCATCTCACATTTACCCTCAAAACTTGGAAATATTTCTGCAGTCGCGTGTCGATACGTACGATGTGTTCCCCGGGAGGGACAAGCGTCGTCGTCGGTGGTCGTACGTCACAGTCGGCAACTGCTTCTACACTACTGCGGGCTGCGTGCACTGTGCGTGGTAAAGTCCAATATCGTCTCACGAGGGATTGGTTATCGGTCAACTTAGTTGACGCCATTTTTTCATCTGTTTGTCGAGTCAATCTACCGGACTTGTTGTGATGCTGACCTTTGGATCTTTCTAGTGTTGCCCCACCCATGATTCGAATGTGGCGCGTGTTGGGCGTTGTGCTGGGCTATTACCCACGTCAAAAGAAGGAATCTTTCCTCGTTGTCCTCGTTATACTATTGATTTCCAGGCGGTCTCGCACGTTCAAGTAAAATTGCTGGCTGCTCCCGCTTCCCCCCCGGGCCGCCTCCTCAGCACCCCCTTTACCCCTAAAACACCCTCTCGGTCGCCTCTTTCCGTCGTCGCCACCCATAATCTTGCAACAACGCAAACCGAGATTCTTTATTTAACTCACGGCCTATACAGGGTTGTCCCTTATTCTTGTTGTCCCTAGATTGAAGGCTGAGTGCCGGTTCAAGGTAGGTCGACACTTGGATGTTGAACGAATAAGGCACCTATGTACGTAGTAAGTAGACTGTAACAGTTGTCATCAAGATTTTCAAAATTTCATATAAGGGGCCGTTCACGTATTACGTGAGCACTATGGGGGCCCGGGGGTTTCTTTGCTTTGCTTATTTTGGATGATTACGTCATCGGTAGTTATTTACTTTTTTTCACGAATGGCAACCCTCACATTGTCTTTGCTTGAAAACGAAACGCATTTTCGGGGATTCCCGCAAATAATGCATACGTTTAGTGAACAGCGCGCGGTAATTCCCCTACTCGCTTTAGAACCGAGTAGGGGAATTACCGCGCGGTGTTCACTTGTCTAAATTTCCTCTATCAGTGTATTGTTTCGTTTGGTTACTATAGCGAGTAGACGTATTGTAAGCATAGTAAAGCAAGTTAACATTTGTGTTACCGTTGATTCCATTAGCCAAAGTTTAATGTTTAAATAAGTTGTCGTTTCACATAGACAAATCCAAGTTATACCAAAAATTGTTTGAAAGTTTTAAAAAATCGCATACAAGTACGAAAGTACAAAATGTACAAAAGTTAGTTAACGAAGTGTGGCGAAATTACAAATTACAAGCAAAATCCGACAAGGAACTAGATATTATTGTATCTAAGAGAATCGAAGAAGAATTGCAAGCGGCGACTAAGAATAAATCCAATCTACTTATTTTTTTTTCTATGGTGAGTGACGAAATCATTTTAGGTACCTATGAATACTAGAAATATTAGAAATCGCCAAAAAGTTTCTCTTTACTGATTAGAAAATATTATGGCCTATCTCAAAGTATAGAGGTAATATTCATTATATTATAGATTTATTTCTTATGATCGATTCCATCAATTGGTCACAAAGTACAGGATTTTAGTTTTATACATATATGCAGAAAACTAACACCGTGTATTTTGTGACCGGAACGAATTGCTCGTTTAAACATATTGGATTTAAAGCCATAGGGATTTGTATTTACCATATATATTGCCATACTTTGTATTTATGTAGCTTGATAAGAGAATCTTTAGCAGAAGCCATAGAAAGTTTTTATTTTTAGGCAACCTGTAAACCTGCAGAAAAAACACAAATTATACAGTCAGCTTCAAATATTAAAAAAGAGGAAGAAGATAAAATAAAACCCGGTAATGAATCACAACAGCAATGCGAAATTAATGAAAATACAGATAAACAGAGAGCAAAACCTTCTCAGGAAGCTATGAAAAATAAGATTGCTCTACTCGAAAAAAAATCCGAATGCTTTGTATCCTGCCAGAGATACTATGCCAAGTCGTGCTG